GTCAATAGAATAAGAGGGAGTAGCACAGCTAAAGAAAAGGGGGAAAAATGGCGGACAGCCTTGTTTGGCGACCCCTGTGAAATGGTCGTTCGACCCCAAATGGGGTCGTGACTCACAGGTTGAGAACCACTGAAATATGTTGAAACTCCCCAGATTGGTGGATGTTTTCATGCCAAGATTGAAAGTAGATAAAGAATTTCAAAGTTGGTTAATTTAAATCTAGCTTTACCATTGTAATCAGAGTTGAAAATGTGTGCTAAGTGCTTATTAAAAAACATGACCGAGGTCAAAGAGATAATTATAACAGTAATTGTTTGTTTTATTTGCTTGCACTTGCTAATATGGAGGTGAAATGTAAACTGTCAGCCCCAATAACCAACTTTGCTCTAACAATGCAAGAACCAAAGTCAAGGCAAACAAGGTCATTAATGCAATTTAAAAGCTGGTGATCATTCCCTCCCCTCTTAGGCTGTCAGGGTAAAAATAGCTTTCACAACAGTTCTTGAAAGGAGCTGATTCAGCTCCTAAAGGCTCCAGGATATCTCTAGCTTGATGCTAACTCATATTCCAAGTTTTAATGAAAACGAAGATGAAAAAAAAATCCCGATTAAATAATTGTATGGAATACAGTTCAATAACTTCTGAAAATGAACTCTCTGCACAAACACTAAATAATTCATGTCATATCAGACAAGAGAAATGTATTTTTACTAGAAACAATTATGGTACTCTGCTGACTAACGAATAAACCATCATTTAAAGCAGTGGTTCTCAACCTGTGGGTCGGGACCCCATTTGGGGTCAAATGACCATTTCACGGGGGTCACCAAACCATGCTGTCCGCCATTTTTTTCCCCTTTTCCCTAGCTGTCCTACTCCCTCTTATTGGTGGCCACACCCACTTGGGGGTCACCACAACATGGGGAACTGTATTATGGGGTCACGGCATTAGAAAGTTTGAGAATCACTGATTTAAAGCATTCAGTTGACGCCTCCTGAACAGCGATTTAAATAAAATCCACCCTGATTTGCCATATATATTGCAATTCAGCAGAATTAAAACCAGTCTATTGTTGAAGAGGTAATTTGATGTACAAATTGCCTGTTCTGTGTTCAGCTAGACATGTACGTTAATATACAATAGTGGCCAAAATTGTGGAAACCTTTTGGGAAAAGTGTACAGTAGAAATGCCACCTTTGGTTAAGTTTCCACCAATTTTTCTTCTAATTTCTTTACAACTGTAGCTTTGTTCGCTTAATAATAGTATTTTACATCGCTTTCTGGGCAACCAGTTAAGTCTTTGCACAATTACTTTAATTTTATTACGTTTTACAAGCTCACTAAATGAAAGAACACAAAAAACCCCAACCAACTTGCTAACGATCACATAACACACTGACAAATGTCCTCCTCTCAGCTTCAATACATGACACCAGTAACTGGATCTGATTGGCTCATTGCCAAAACAAGATGACACCCGATTGGCTCTCTAAACACTCATGCTCATTGGCTACAATCGGATGAAGGAAAGCTACCTGATATCAACCTAAGCAAGTTGTGCTTCCTTTTTCTGGTTATTTGGCTCTACCGTTTCATAGAATACAGTACAGATAATTGAACAAACTTTGTTGCATTACATTCTTAATTAAATTATCTTTCCATTGATATCTAATTTTATGGTACTACTCCCCCCAAAAGTGGGTGTTATTAGCCATCAGACCTCAAAAATACACTTTCCCCAAAAGGTTTCCACAATTTGGGCACTACTGTAGTTGTTAAAGCAGTGTTTCTCAACCTTGACAATTTTAAGGCATGTGGACTTCAACTCCCAGAATTCCACAGCCAGCAATGCTGGCTGTGGAATTCTGGGAGTTGAAGTCCACATGCCTTAAAATTGTCAAGGTTGAGAAACACTGTGTTAAAAGGAATCTGTCTTCCCCATTGAGTTTGCTTGTCAGAATGTCGCCGAAAGGGATCACTTGACCCCTGTGCACTGCAACCATCATAAATGCAAGTCAGTTGCCAAAACACTTGAAGCTTGATCATGGGGATGCCGCAATGGTCGTAAGTGTGAAAAACGGTCATACGTCCCTTTTTTCAGCGCCGCTGTAACTCTAAATGGCCACTAATTGATTTTAAGTTGAGGATTCCCTGTACTAGATTCTGGACTAGGGCAGAGGGTTCTGTGCTGGCTGCCTCTAGGTCACGGGTGTCAAACTCGCCACATCACATGATGGGTCACGACATATCGCGCCTTTTTGTATTGCCAGAGCTGGGGTGGGCGTGGCCTCCTCAAGGTGCAACCGGCCCACGGGCCGGCAGTTTGACACCTCTGCTTCTAGGTCTTGATTTTGGTGTTTGAATGGTTCACCTTTGAAACACGATTAATTAGTTCAGTGGTTCTCAACCTTTTTAATCCCGTGACCCCCCCCAACCGGTTGTAAGTCGAGGACTACTCAGTCGGTCGTAAGTCGAGGACTACTCAACTGGTGCAGCACCGTTTGCAGAATGGGACTTTTGGCGGGCTCAGCAGGGCAGAGACAGCCTGGACAATTCCTATTGGCTTTTGAAAGCCAATAGAATTAGACTCTATTCAATAGAGTCTATTCTATTGGCTTTCAAAAGCCAATAGAATAAAAGGGAGTAGCACAGCTAAGGAAAAGGGGGGGAAAATGGCGGACTGCGTTGTTTGGCGACTCCCGTGAAATGGTCGTTTGACCCCAAATGGGGTCCCGACCCACAGGTTGAGAACCACTGAATTAGTTCATATTTTAAGAAGGACAAAGTTACTGTTCGGGCACAGCCCCCCTAATAAATACAATTCCTGATTTGGACCGAAGTATATGGATAGGAAGATTTGAAGGAGGCCTTCAAAAGAATGCAGTGATAATCGGCCATTCGAGATTAAGGCTAAAACATATAAAGAACGATTACAGGAACGGGGCATGGCTAGTGTAGTGAAGAGAAGGACCAGGGGAGACATGATAGCAGTTTTCCAATATTTGAGGCGCTGTCACAGAAGGAGGGGGGGGGCAACCTGTTTTCCAAAACACCTGAAGGCCAGACAAGGAATAACGGATGGAAACTGATCAAGGAGAGATGGAACAGATTGCCTTCAGATGTTGTGGGAACTTCAACACTGGAAGCTTTCAAGAAGAGACTGGACCGCCATCTGTCAGAAGTGGTGTGGGGCAGAGGTCCCCAACCTTTTGGGCACCAGGAACCAGTTCTATGGAGAGAGGTTTTTCTGCTGACTGGAGGGTGTGTGGTTTTGTGTGCTGTCTGCATCTCGTGGATGGGGATTTACTTGTTTGTGCGGCCTGCTTGTTGGCATGCCATGGACCAGTAGTGGTCCGCGGACTGGGGGTTGGGGACCCCTGGTGTAAGGTCTTCTACTTGGGCAGGGAGATGGACTAGATGACCTACAAAGTCCCTTCCAACTCAGTTATTCTACTTCTAATAGCTTATAACCCACTAGATATCTGGATGGACTTTAAGTTAGACTAGGATACTGATGATGAACCTTTTGGCTCAGTGTGTCAACAATTTGGAAAATGCCTAACTTGACTCTGCTTCTCCCTCCCTCCCTCTCTCTCTGTCTCTGCAAATGGTTGTAAGTTGAGGATTATCTAGTGTTAGTTATCAGCTTTGCAGAGCAATACCATATTCTTTCTCTCTCTCTCTCTCTCTCTCTCTCTCTCTCACACACACACACACACACACACACACACACACACACACTTCTATAAGGTCTAGGACAGCGCGCTACACTCAACTTCTCCACGGGACAATTTGCCATGGCCAACTCGCCAGAGGACAAGAATTACACTAATATTGAAGAAATGGTGACATAGAGTCATTAAAAAAAGGATGCAAAAGGAAGGACAAAATGAAACGTGAATGACAAAAATGAAAATATTTTAAAAATTATTTTAAATAATTAAATTGTTGAATTGTTCCGTGGCAAACTGATCACGGCAAGTTGGCCATGATGAATTGGCAGCGGGAAGTTGGCCGTGGCAAATTGCCCGTTTCTGAATCTAAGCATCCTGAACAACTTCACTTGGTAGCAGCCCCGAGGCTGGGCCAGAAGTGGAGGGCCAGACCTCCTCCTCTTCCTCCCTACTGCCACCGTTCCCTCTCAAAAAGGCCGCCTTGCACTGTTCACACACATGCAGGCCCCATTCTCAACCAGCCTCCCAAAATCACCTGAGAACAGGGTGTGCTTTGGAGAATTGTTGTTGCCTGTTGGTGGACTGTCAAGGTAATGATTTAGAAGCTACCCAGCTGATGTAAGATGTATGATGTAATGATGGGAATGACTCAGCAGGGTCTGTGTCCCTTTAAGAGCTTTGTATAAAAGGGAAGGCTCCACAGATGTGTGCCCTCTCTTCTGCTTTTCCTGCTGTAACTGCTGTGTGTTGGAGACTGCTGTATTAACACGTGTATGTATATTATTCCTGGTGTATGATATTATAGATAGTGTAAGATAAACCACCATTTAATATAGACCACTGTTTACTGTGTTTATTCCTGGGTTATCTCAGCTCAATAAGACCGTGTATGCTCTGACATGGACTCTGGCGCATCATCCCAAAACATTGGGCTGCGTCATCTTTGTCGCACATTATCATAGCTTTGCCATCACTGGACTAGGGTGTGGAAAGCATAGTTGAAAACCACATGGGCATGTCCACGTAGTCACCAGCAGCAAAGCTCCACTGTTAATTTTGAATAATTTCATTTGCAGGATATCTGGGTCAGTCCAGTCAGCCGTCTGGGCAGAGCACTGTTCTCTTAATCTGACTTAAGAGTTAAAACAGATACCCGAGAGTCAAAAGTTAAACCCCAAACCGTACAGTCTTATATAAAGCAGGGCTTTGAGGAATACCTGCTGCAAGCATTAAGCTGAACCGATACCTACAATGGAGTTTGTCATATGCTGTGTTATAACTGTGAAGGTTGCTAACTCTGTTTTTTTTTTTAAAATGTCTTTCAGATTCTCAATGGCTTCTAAGAAGTCGGGGTCTGATTTTCACGGTAAGTGAATGGCAAGGTCTGGACGCGTTATCTCTCTGGATGTAGTTTCTCCGTGGTGGTCAAATGAAGGATTCTGACCATGGGATTTAATTATTCATGGAAACTTAATAGGCTTTATTGGTTGTCCTCGACAATTGAGCCCAACATATCCATGGTTAAGCAAGACAGTTGTTCTAAGTGAGTTTTGCCCGAGTAGAACTAGCAATAGCACTTAGACTTACCGTGTTTCCCCAAAAGTTAGGCCTACACCAACAATAAGCCATAGCTTGTATTTGGGGGGGTGGGCCTAATATAAGCCCTGTCTCAAAAATAAACCCTAATTTGGGGGGAGAAGTGCACCTAAAAATCAAGCTGGGGTGGGGGTGTGGAGCTGCTCCACCCACCCTGCATCCACTTACCTTGCACCAGGCCTCTCCTTGCCAGCCCACTTCTTCTGAGGCTCTTCTGCAGCCAGGCCTGCATTTCTCAGTCACAGGGTTTTCCGGAAGGTCTGTGCAGCCAAGAACATCCATAGCTCGGTTCTGTAAGACCTCAGCAGCCGAGCACCAAACTATGGATTCAATCCATAGCTCAGTACTCGGCTGCTTAGGCCATCTGGAAAGGCCAGACTGCAAAATGCAGGCCCGAAAGCAGCTGCAGAACTTCGGCCCCAGAAGAAGTGGACCGGCTGGGTGAGGCTGTCGGTTCTGGAGGTGAGGTAAGGCCTACCCCGAAAATTAGACCTGGTGCCTCTTTTGGAGGGGGAAAAAAAACCAAAACCCAGTCTTATTTTCGGGGAAATGGTATATACCGTTTCAGAATGCTTTACAGCCTTCTCTAAGGAGTTTAGAGAGTCAACATATGGTCCCCAACAATCTGGGTCCTCATTTTACTGACCTTGGAAGGACAGAAGGCTGAGTCAACTTTGAGCTGGTGAGACACGAACTCCAGACTGGGGGCAGTGAGTTAACCTGCAGTGCTGCGTTCCAGCCATTGTGCAACCAGGGCTTAGTAGTTAAATAACTCACTTCAGTGGTTAAGCTAGTCATGTGGTTGGACTTTGCTTGTCACAAAAGGGGGAATCACATGACCCCAGCACACTGCGGCTGTCATAAGTACGAGCCAATTGCCAAGCATCCGAATTTTGATCACGGGACCGCAGGGATGCTGCAACGGTTGTAAGCGTGACAAATGGTCCTAAGTCTCTTCTTTCAGGGCCGTTGTAACTCTGATCAGTCACTAAAATGAATGGTTGTATGTCAAGGACTGGCTGTACACTGAAGCGGATGACCGTTTTGCAGATGTGCAAGTTGCCAGAGCAATTTACAGCAGGTTGGAAATGAGCAGTTTGGGATTTGACCGATCAAATGACAATAGGGAACAGCTCAAGCCAGATAAATCTGTCAGTTGAATCCAAACAATCTGGAGAATTGCAGATTCTTTTGCAAGTCAGTTCCTGAGATGGGACCAAATGACAGAACTGGTGATCTGCCTTGGGTCACCTCCTCTTCAGACACCTGTAACTTGACATGGCAAGAGGCATGACGGGTAGCCCATAATATCCATTTTGTGTTACAGTCTGGCATATTTGTGCAGTCTGGCTGGGCTTAACCTTCGAAACAGCCTAGTTGCTTATCATAATAAGCATTCTTCGTCTGGAAAATAGGAAAGGCCGAGCGCCAAAGAATTGAGGCCTTTGAACTCTGGTGCTGGAGAAGACTCCTGTGAGTCCCCTGGACTGCAAGGCGATCCAACCAGTCAGTCCTGGAGGAGATCAACCCCGACTGCTCTTTAGAAGGCCAGATCCTGAAGTTGAAACTCAAGTCCTTTGGCCACCTAATGAGAAGGAAGGACTCACTGGAGAAGAGTCTGATGCTGGGAAAGATTGAGGGCAAGACAAGAAGGGGATGACAGAGATGGAGGAGGCTGGATGGAGTCACTGAAGCAGGAGGCGTGAGCTTAAATGGACTCCAGAAGATGGTAGAGGACAGGAAGGCCTGGAGGAACGTTGTCCATGGGGTTGCAATGGGTCGGACATGACTTCACAACTAATAACAACAAAGTCTGGAAAAAGCAGGAGAAAATACTGCGATTTCTTAAAGTTTTCTCTCAAAGCATCATGAGCTCTCGAAGCCTGGAATGATGTTCCACAAGGAGGGAGTCGCCACAGAGAAGGCTCTTCTTGATCCCACCAGATGGACCTCCTTAAGAGAGGGGAATCCATAACATTCCCTGCCTCTCTGCTCTGGTGGGCTGGGTAGAGAAGACGGGGAAAAAATGATCCTTCAGAAGAATGTAACACATATACATTCATTGTTACTCTGTTCTTTTTTTTTCTAATGTAAAGGTCATTGGAAGCTGGTCATACAAACTTTACAACTAGACTAGAGGACTTTTGTTGTTGTTGTTAATTGCGAAGTCGTGTCCGACCCATCGCGACCCCATGGACAACGTTCCTCCAGGTCTTCCTGTCCTCTACTCCATCTTCTGGAGTCCATTTAAGTTCACACCTACTGCTTCAGTGACTCCATCCAGCCATCTCATTCTCTGTCATCCCCTTCTTCTATTGCCCTCAATCTTTCCCAGCATTAGGCCCTTCTCCAGTGAGTCCTTCCTTCTCATTAGGTGGCCAAAGTATTTGAGTTTCAACCTCAGGATCTGGCCTTCTAAAGAGCAGTCAGGGTTGATCTCTTCTAGGACTGATCGGTTTGAACGCCTTGCAGTCCAGGGGACTCGCAGGAGTTTTCTCCAGCACCATAGTTCAAAGGCCTCCATTCTTTTGCGCTCAGCCTTTCTTATGGTCCAACTTTCACAGCCATACATTGCAACTGGGAAAACCATGGTCTGGACTATACGCACTTTTGTTGGCAGGGTGAGGCCTCTGCTTTTTAGTATGCTGTCTAGATTTGCCATACTAGAGGACTTTAGCTCTGATTTATAAGAGAGCTACAGTCCATACAAGCCCTGTCCAGATTTTTAAAGTTGTGTTTCTTTTAACAAGGATTATGTTAATTGGGTAGGGGCTTTAACGTTTAGTAAGCTTTGAGAGTTTCCTAGGATATTTACTTTTCAGACAGAAAGTGTATAATTGGAATGCTGTTGGGAGTAAACCCTACCCCCCCCCCCAACTTTCTTCATAGATCCTTTGTAGGAAGATACGCCTGCCAACAGGGAAGTGTAAATCCTTGGGTCTTCTTTTAGTGCTGTGATTTGTTCAAAGCTTAAAATTAATCCTCCAGATTATCAGATCCACTTTTTTTAAGGTCAGGGCTCGACGGTAGAGGTTTCAGCAAGGCCCGTCTAGGCTACCAATCGCTCTGCACAGCCTTAGGCCGTGCAAGTGGGAAGAATCGCATCTAAGGACAGACTTGGAATAAAACTAGAGTAATGCTTGTACTGGAGAAATCACGGTGCGCTTAAGTAATAGCATCTTTCCCCGTTTACACCCAGAGGCTATTTTGAGGGGGGATTTGGTCCATCTGCATCTCGTAGGGAAGTGGATGCATCTGTCAGAAAGCAAAGTCAGGAGGAGCTGGTTAGTCTTGGAGACCTTGGAATAATATCTCAATAGAACTGCAGCAGGGTGTGCCTTTTACCTGTTCGATAGCCACAGCTATCAGACTCACTGGAGAAGAGCCTAATGCTGGGAAAGATGGAGGGCAAGAGAAGGAGGGGAGGACGGAGAATGAGATGGCTGGAGGGAGTCACTGAAGCAGTAGGCGTGAGCTCAAATGGACTCCAGAAGATGGTAGAGGACAGGAAGGCCTGGAGCAGCGGTTCTCAACCTGTGGGTCGTGACCCCATTTGGGGTCGAATGACCATTTCACGGGGGTCGCCAAACAACATGATCCGCCATTTTTTCTGGGGCGGCGCATGGGGGTGCCGCCGTGCATGCGCGCCGCGCAGGGGGCAGTGCCGCACATGCGCGCCACCTGCTTAATACCGGGGTCGCCGTATAAAAAGGTTGAGAACCACTGGCCTGGAGGAACATTGTCCATGGGGTTGCAATGGGTCGGACACGACTTCGCAACTAACAACAAAGTACTCGACAACCACAATTGAGCCCAAATTTCTATTAATTAATAATTAATTAATTAATAATTTTACATAACATTATATAATCAGTTCAACAATACTTGAAAAGATGGAACTTTTGAGGGTATGACACACAGTAGATCTGGGTTTTCTCCAGCAGGATGGCTGTAGAGTCCAAATGGATGGGTTCTATGACGGCCTTCCTGCCTGGCAGACTGGGTAAAAACTTCGGCCACACCCCTTCCTTTGGGCGTGACCCCAGTTTTGACTCAGTCTCGAAGCCTGGTAGAAGTGCGAGAAGCAGCTCTTAGGAAAGAAGAGTTTTCACAAAGAAAAGAATATCCTCTTCCAGTTTTTTTTTTTTTTCCTCCCCTTTTTGCAGCAGGCAGGGATCCCGGGCAGAGGAATAGAACACCGACGCCTCCCAGCCAGGATCGTCGGAGTGGTGAGAGGATCGCCAGGGCGGTTAGCCAGGGGGGCTCGGGCCGGTCAGTGGATCTTCCGCGGATCCCGCCAAACAGCTGTTTGGCGCGGGGACATTTCCCGGACCACCCGCCGGGCAGCTGAGTGGCACGGAGGCCACTCGGTCCGGCGGAGGAGCTGAGGCGCCGTTCAGCGCCAAACAGCTGAGCGGCGCGGGAAAACAGAGCGCTGATCAGCTGAGCGGCGCGAGAAGCGCAGCGCGCCCAAACCGACCGGCAGAGCCTCAGCGCCGTTTTTTCTCCCCCAGCGGAGAGGCACAGCCCCCTTAAGGACAAAAGAGCCATTCAAGCCGGTTAATTACCCTATTGCTGGCTATTAAAGACCCGCCATTGTTGGAGCCTCGTGGCTCATCCGGCTACTATTGGGAGGCGGGGCTTCCTCCCATTCGCCATTTTAAACAAGCAGTTTAGCCGCCGCTTTTTTCCTTTACATTAAGACACTTGGGCAAGAGGAAGGAAGAGGAATAAAAGATTAGAACCTCTATCAGTTCTGAGCGTGGTCTG